AAAATATGAATATGCACATAAACACACACCAAAAGAATACCTTTACTCACAAGCCTGTAGTAGTATTTGTCTAAGAAGTTTTACAATCTTAAAAAAATCCTAGGGCTTCCCTGGTGGTGCAGTGGTTGAGAGTCCGCCTGCCGATGCAGGGGACAAGCGTTCGTGCCCTGGTCCGGGAAGATCCCACATGCAGCGGAGCGGCTTGGACTGTGCGCCATGGCCGCCGGGCCTGCACGTCCGGAGCCTGTGCTCCGCAACGGGAGAGGCCACAACAGTGAGAGGCCCGCAGGATAAAAAAAAAAAAAAAAAAAAAAAAAAATCCTAATATAAGCCACAATGTAACAGTCGGGAGTCTTTAATTTTCTTCAATGTCTTTACAACTCATATACTAATATATCACTATTAATTATCAATTTAGACAATTTAGTGTCTTTTATTGAAGTTTTTGTTCTAAGTCTTATTACATTATATGGGAAAAGATTATTACAAATACTGTACTTCCTTTTAGCATTGTACTGCTTTTTACAGATACAGGTAAAGTTGCGATTTTTCTTCATTTATTTATTCCATCAGCAAGCCTACTGATTGCTTAATTGGCTCTCCCTGACCTCATGGGCCTTCCAATCGAATAGGCCAGAGAGCCACAGACAATTTACTGATAATATGGAAGGTGAAGTGATGGGAGCCACAAAGGGCTCTTTACAGAATCCTGAGGTGGATTAGGATAGAGCTCTGCTAAAGGTCATGTATGACCTGAGCTTCGACAGATAAACATAGTCAGACTTCAAGACTAGGAAGAGAGTAAAGACAACTGGTATTTCTCTGGATTAACTGCTCCAAATTAATGCATCAATCAATTTTTTTTTTTTTACTCATTTGGAAAGAGGTCTTGTAGTGAGAAATCTATTCAGTTTATGATGAGCCAATGGCTGTCCAAATATTAAAACACCCAAATCAATTTAAAAAATGTAGGAAGAATTCAAATGACTATACCAGCAGGTAAAAAGTGACAGATGGATTTCTGGTGTGTGGAATGCAAGGTAATGCATAGGAAGGAGAAAATAATCCAAATTTACTTTAAACCTGGTAGGCTCTGAAAATTCAATACAACAAAGCAAGAAGACCTTTGCAGAATGTTTCTTGATGTCATCTACCAGCTATGCAACCTCAGGCAAAAAGACCAACAGAACAATGGACTTCATTAAGGACATGACTGGAAACGGGACAAAAAACATTACTTTGGCCTTAACAAAAACATGGCCTATCAAAACCAAAGCACTGTGTACAGTTCTAAACACTGTAGTTCAGACGCACTAGGGTACAGTGATTAAGAAAACAGACATGGGATCAAATCCAACTTTCTGCTACTTACTATGTCTCAGTTCTTTCATTTGTAAAGTGGGAGCTGGAATGCCTACATCTGAATTGCTCTACAGTTAAATGAAAAACATGCTTAGAGTTTTTAGCATAGTACCTGACACAAAGTGTTCCCCAAAATGACAGCTATCATTACTACTATAAAGCAAGAAGAAATCTCCCAGAGAAAAGCCATTAAAATATTAACACATTCTCAAACTTTGACAAGCATTCAAATCACCTAAAGGGCTTGTTGAAAATTCAGATACCTGGGACCAATTCCTCCCACGGATTAGTTCTATAGGTCTAAAGTAGAATGTGACTGTTCTCTGGCCCAAACATCAAGAACTATTGAAGTTGGAGAATCAAGGTACAGCCCTACAAAAAGAAGCTGAAAATTAGGGTTTTTCCATAGAAAGAACTGGTTTAAAATAGACAGTACGTTCAAGAGTGATGCAGATGTGTTCAGGTTTATTCATTCAACCAACATGCGCTGAGCACCTACTTTGCAGTGAAAAGGACAGACAAGGTCCCCATCTTCCCAGAGTTTAACTTCTAGTATAGGAGACAGAATACAAAAAATAAGGAAATTCCAGACAGTGATGGAATAAAGAAAATAAGAGAGAACGGTGAGATAATTGTGGGGGCAATCTCCGTGAAGGGACAACAGCTGAACTGACCTGAATAACACGATGGAATCAGCCATGGGAAGACCTGGGAAAAGACCAAATCCACAGGGTACAGCAAGTGCAAATGCCCTGAGGCAAGAACAAGCCTGGCAAGTTCCTGGGACAATGCTAGTGCCACGTGACCAGGCTCCTGGGTACTAATCTAGGCATTCGGATACAAGATAAGGGAGGAAGGCAGTGCCAAAACATGTACTGCCTGGCAAACCTTGGTAAAGAGTTTGGATTTCATTCCGAATGTGATGAGAGGCTTTTCAACAAAGGCGTGACACAATCTGATTTACATTTTAAAGGATCCCTTAGGCTGTGGCAAGGGGAAAGCCAAAGTGGAAGCAGGGAGACCAGGAGGTTGCTGCAGTAGGCCAGGTGAGAGATGGTTAGCTGGCAAAGGTGGTAGCAGTAGGGATGGGAAGAAGTGGACAAATCTAGAATATATATTGAACACTATAATTTAAGGCAAATTTAGCTAAGTTTATGACTAACAGACCCCAATACATTATTAGCATGTTTAGGATACTTTGTAGTATATACTTATCCTTTGAAATTGAGGTGAAGGGGAAACTTTCTTCTCTTTTGGCACCACTGATAAAGCACTGGACTAAATGGGCAAAAATCCAAGACTCAATCTTAATAAAGAATATTAAGTGTGTAAAGTAAAGTAAAATCTTTTAGGATCTTACTCCCAGAAGCCTGGACAGCGGGTCAGTATTTGGAGTATATAGCAGCTATGGAATAGAAATAAACCTTTACCTGAATCAGATCACTAAATGAACAAAAACTTTTTAAACTTCCATATTGTCATCTCGGGCTATTCTGTGCCTGCTCTTTCAAGAGTTAAACAAGCAAAGCCTTGTCACACAGTGCATATTAATTTCACAAACCTTACAATATCATCATAAGAGATTTGAAAGGAAATCTTTTAGAACCACGATTTTAATCATTATGGTGTGGCAAACATACAGTGAATATTCCCTAGAAGTTAAGGTCTACAAGTCCATATCTGCAAAAATTTTAACTTTGTTACTCAAAAATGAAGTACTACTATGTGGAAAAGCAGGTTACAGAAAAGCATATGCAGTATGATACCATTTTTGTATAAAATACATAAATGCAAAAAAGTCTGGAAGGATATAAAACCAATACTGACATTCTGGTGATCTCTGGATGGCAAGAATATTGATGACTTATTTTCTTCTTTTTTTTTGCTTATCTGCTTTAATCAACATTTTCTCCAATTATCACAAATTATTTCATATAAACAAAAATATTCAGTTATAGGTTAGCATAAAAGGTAAAAAAAAAAAAACTTCAAGAAAACATAATTTCGTTTGTGTGTAAATCAGCAGGACTCCAACTGTGATGTTAAGGAAAAAAGATCCTAGTTGCACACACGGAAGGAAGAAATTTGTTAGGAAGAGGTCCATGTTATGCCACACAAGGACATACCCTTCAAGGGAGTAGTCTAAATTCCTAAGACCTGAATTTGATAAGTGACAATCAATTTAGCACATAGCTCTGTTTTTCTTTCCTGCCGTTTGCTAAAGAAACACCTCAATTAATGAGTTCTCTGGGGAAAAAAATTCTTTTTTAAAACTAAGTTAGGGGCTTCCCTGGTGGCGCAGTGGTTGAGAGTCCGCCTACCGATGCAGGGGACGCGGGTTCATGCCCCGGTCCGGGAAGATCCCACATGCCGCGGAGCGGCTGGGCCCGTGAGCCATGGCCGCTGAGCCTGCGCGTCCGGAGCCTGTGCTCAGCAACGGGAGAGGCCACGACAGTGAGACGCCCGCGTACCACAAAATAAATAAATAAATAAATAAATAAAACTAAGTTAGGACAAAAGGGAGGTTTGGTGTTCCGGTCTCGTTCCTGCGGTGGAAAAGTGCGGAGAGCGGCAGTGCTCGAAGCAGGCTACACTAGAGGAATCTGCGTGGCCGGTCATCTAAAGTGGAAGGGAACACAAGCCTTCTGCAAGCTCCACAGACTGGGCAGCGAGAACGCCTCCTAAGGGTCTCGAGACTACGTCTGAAAGGTCTTACGCCATCCAAATTATTCTACGTACAGCTGCCAATGGTTTCTGACAATAACACAAAAACTGGAAGATCTCTTTAAACACAGGTATTACGTGCAGGAAGCTCATCCGACTTTTTGCAAAGCCAAGACATTCTCTTAAGGCCACATCTTCGATTTTGCAAACTAAGACAACTGAAAACATCCTACTGATTCCCTACGGCTAACAAACATCATCTTGGCTAAAAAACACACAGAAACAGCCACTTTGGAAAACTGGCTTTAAACGGCAACATAAGACTTCAAGTACTCTGGTAACCAGTTTATCGCACTTTATCTGTTCCAATAAAGGGTGCTACCTCTTTACTGTCGGCTCTGGTTCCACTTACTGAACAAACAGAAAAATGGAATCCTTCAAATTCACAACACAGTAAGGGCTAAAAGCTCCAGCTTTCTGGACGGCAGCTCTCTAGTCTCATTAATCACAACAAAGGACGTATCCTAGTGACTTCATCAAACCCGGCAAAGGCTGAGGAACAGAGGTAAATTATATGTGAATTTCAAGGTTTGTGGGGTTTTCCTTCCAGCTACGACTCTCTCTCTTCTTTTTACTCCATTATACGCCTCCACCCGAGTTTACTGCTTGCCCTAAAAATGAAAGCATGCCTGGCTACCGTCCACTTCCCTGCCAAGTCCCGACTCTGGTTTCCTGCAGAGAAAGCCAAATTTCAGGCTCTCCGCCTCGCTCTTCGCCGGGGGACGCGGGCTCGGCAGCAGAGGGCTTCTCCAGGTGCAGTCGCCAGCCCAGCCGGGGACGCACCGACCCCGAGAAGCAGCCCAGCTCTGCCACAGCTGCCGCAGTCCGCCAGAGGCTGAGTAGCCACCAGGAAAAACCGGGGTGAGGGGAAGGTGGGCCAGCAAACGGCGGTGGGAGAAGGGGCAGACACTCACCCGCCCAGACAACAACCGATAGGGCGGGGAAGATGGGGGCCGGGACCAAGCCTCGGCAGAAAGACCGCCTGAAGCTTCCGGAACACGGCAGCTGCTCCGGTCGTCCCTGCCGCCGCCGCTCCTGGCCGCTGCTTCCTCCCCTCCTCTGTTTTGATTCGACTGACCACGTCACTCTTAGCCACAAGACCCGGATCTGCCGGCTTCCGCGGGCGGCGGCGCAACAGATTGCGGCATCCCGAAGTCCACAGCAGCCGGCCTGCCGAGCATGCGCGCTCCCTGCGCCTGCCCAGTAGGTCCGGGTAGGCGGGGCGGGCGCGAGCGTCACGCGGTTCGGGCGGGCGTGGAGCGCGGGGGTTGTAGTTCCGGGTGGGAGGGGTGGAGCGGAGCGTTCCGATGTGGAGAGGGAAGGCCACGTGTCTGTTGAAGTGGCTAGTGTGTCCTCTGTGTCGTCTGTCGTGGACAACGTCCTCTGCAGTGTGTCTCCCTTTGCCTATGCTGATGGCTTTCCTCGGCCGGAGTCTTTAGAATAGCGGGGGTATTGGTAGACGTGGGCGCCAAGTTGATGTCTTCTGAGACATGTAGAGATTGTTTTCGATCACTCAGGCCCAGGTGAAAATTGGGGATCGGGATTTAGTCTTATATGTACAACAGTGCGTCAAACGTGGCAGTTATTCCCCTGTACCCTCCCTAACAGTGCATCCAGAAAGCTGACTAAAAGTCAGTTCAAGATGAGTATTAAAGGCTGATCCAGAGATAGTAGGGAACTGGGAGGCAGTCATCTCAAACCTTTGTTGCTTTGACCTTAGGGATTGAAATAAGGATAATACTTGTGGTGTAAGAACCTAATTTCTTTGTAAACTAAGTTGGTGCTTCCTACTCTCTCATTCTAACCTTCTTAGTTTCCCTGCTAAACAACTGGGACCCAAGAGATTTCCCAATTTGGGAAAACTTGGGTCCATGAATTGACAGACTTTAAAGAGGGACTAGTGGTAAAATGAAAGTGTGAGTTCCAAACAAAGATTTCACGAAGGTGCCTATTTGCCTATCCTGCAGGAGAGGTGAATGTTAGCTGTGAGAAACTGTCTTCCTTACTCTGAGTTGACCTTTTTACCTAACCTGGCCTTCTACCTCAGTATTTGGTTAATCACCTCAACTAGCTGAATCACCTTCAGCAAATTAGTATCATCTAAAAGAGCTTTTTTAAAAAAATTTTAATAGTACACTTTATTTAACCTAATTATCCAAAATATTAGTTTCAACATATAATCAATATAAAAATTATTAATGACATACTAATGTTTACCTCATACTAAATCTTCAAAATCGGGTGTATATTTTACACTTAGGGCAAGGCTCAATTCAGACTGTCAATATTGCAAGTGTTGGGTGTGGCTAGTGGCCACCGTATGAGACAAAACAGCTCTAGAGCATATGAGCTAACAGGCATCCGGGAGGGGACCTGGGACTAAGCTGGAGGCAAGACCCGAGGATAATCTTTTGGGGATGTCTGCCTGCTTATTTTGCCAAGTCTCCTTGTGCCCTGAGTTCTTTTAGAATAACCTACGTGGGAATAATTGCTGTGCCTTTAAAATAAAATATTCATAAAATGCCACATGGACTTAGAAAATCCTGTTCTAGATAAAAGTAGGTAAACAAAGAGAAGAGCTTTTTAATTAAAGCAGGTAAAATTTTCTAGAAAATGAAAATTTCTGGTAAGACTCAAAGTGTTTCCTAGTTAATTAACAGATTACAAGTAGATAGAAGTCCAGCTACTTGGCTGTTACTCTGCACTCTTGAACTCTGTTTACTCAAATTCAGAGTTTGAAGTGGAATCTAGTGCCCTAACAAAGTTCATAGGCTGACCTTATAACAGAGGGTCTTTAATCTGTGGAACCTTAATTGTGGAACAGAAAGTCTCAAATACTTGGGTGCACCCATGTGCACATATGTGTTTGAAAACACAGCTGTGTTTAAAAGAACAGTATGCTGCAAAATTGGACTGGTACACAATATTGCAAAATTATCAGTGTTTGCTTTATAAAGTAAATTACAGGAAAATCAAGATGTTAGGATCTTTGGTAGCTAGCTTCCAAGAAAACCCCCAGTAATTCTCCACTCTGGAAATATATACTCCTCCAGCCCTTTGAATGAAGGCTACTCTGACCTGTAGAATACAGCTGAAGGTGTGTGACTTCTGAGGCTAGGTCATAAAGGCACTGATTGCAGCTTTCCACCTCATTCTCTTGGATTGCTTGCTCTGGAGGAAGCTAGGCTCCACGAAACTCCACACAAGCAGACCTGTGTATGAAGAGGCCCATGTGGAGAGGAACAAAAGCCTCCACCAACAGCTTCACCACTTTACCCCCATGTGAGTGAACTACCTTGATTGGGCTCATCCTGCAACCCCAATCAAGTATTCGATGACTCCTTGCCCAACATCTGCTTGCAATCTCATGAGAGATAGAAAGGCCCAGCTCTGACACGCAGTGATACAGGATCATTTGTGGGTTTTTGCCCTGATCTAAGTTCAACCTTTCAAAACTTAAAACAATGGAAGAATGAAAAAGTATGTGTGTAATTCTCTATATAAAGTAATTTAGAAAATAACATAGAATTCCCACCATAGTACCTGGAACATAGTAGATAGTGAATATTTGTTGAATGGACACATAAAATTAAGAGAAACCAACTGGGAAATATTTGGAATAAATATTGATAAAGGAGTAATATAATGTATGAAGGACTCATACAAATCAATAAGAAAGATATTAATGCCTCTAATACAGGTATGAGTAAAGAGTATGAGTTGATGGTTTACACACGAAAAGGAGATACTAATGACTAATAGATACTTGAAAATCTTCAATCTCAGTAGTAATCAAAAATGCAAATTAAGATTTCCTTTTTTAACTACTACTTTAGGGAGTTGTTTTTTTTTTTTTTAGCAGAGAGGGAGATTTTTTTTTTCTTCTTCTTTTTTGCGGTACGCGGGCCTCTCACTGCTGTGGCCTCTCACGTTGCGGAGCACAGGCTCCGGACGCGCAGGCTCAGCGACCATGGCCCACGGGCCCAGCCGCTCCGCGGCATGCGGGACCCTCCTGGACCGGGGCACGAACTCGTGTCCCCTGCATCAGCAGGCGGACTCTCAACCACTGCGCCACCACGGAAGCCTGAGAGGGAGATATTTTTAAAGAGGAGTATCTAATATTGGTACTGTTAGCACTGCTGTAGAAATGTAAGTTGGCAGGTAATCAGTTTGGCAATATATACCAAGTTCCATAAAAGTATCACATCTGTTGATCGATTTTCATTACTAGGAACTTAATGAAATAATTTAAAAGAGTAACATTGTAGAGATATGAATTACATTTATATGATGGGAGAAAAATAGGGAAATAACCTACGTAAACAATGGTAATGGAAAGGCTAAATGTTGCATTGTATGTTAGGATCTAAAAAACTCGAGAATAGAAATAATTTTAAGTGACTATAAGGAAGTTAATCACATTTTATGACGGAGGGAAAAAATCTAGAAATAATTTAAATATACAATGGATGGAATGGATGAATATGTTAAACTATGTTTTAGGCATTAACAAACTTGAAGGTATCTTCCCTTTCTGAACCAGACCCTACTTTGATTCTTGCTTTAGAAGAAAGTGTTTATAATATAAATATATGTTTTATATATTCATAAAAGCATTCTGGAAAATATTCTTATAACTATTGGCATTGGTTACTCTGGGGATGGGGTGAGAGGCTTCCTTATGATTTTTTTACCCTTTGTATGATTTGAATTTTTTCATATCAATGCATTATTTTTACAATTCAAAATATCATTAATAATTTTTTTTAACTTAAAAAAATTGTGGTTGTATTAGTCTGCTCAGGCTGCCATAACAGAATGGCACAGACTGGATGTCTTAAACAACAGATATTTAGGGGCTTCCCTGGTGGTGCAGTGGTTAAGAATCTGCCTGCCAATGCAGGGGACACAGGTTCCAAGCCCTGGTCTGGGAAGATCCCACATGCTGTAGAGCAACTAAGCCTGTGTGTCACAGCTACTGAGCCTGAGCTCTAGAACCCACGAGCCATAACTACTGAGCCCACGTGCCACAACTACTGAAGTACGTGCGCCTAGAGCCCATGCTCCACAACAAAAGAAGCCACCGCAATGAGAAGCCTGCGCACCACAACGAAGAATAGCCCCTGCTTGCCGCAACTAGAGAAAGCCTGCACACGGCAACAAAGACCCAACACAGCCAAAAAAAAAATAAGTAAATTTATTTTTAAAAAAACCAGATATTTATTTTCTTGAAGTTCTGGAGGCAGGAAATCCCCAAGATCAAGGCAGGGTTGATTTTTGGTGAGACCTCGCTTCCTGGCTTGCAGATGACCACCATCTCACTTTGTCCTCACATGGCCTTTCCTCCATGCATGCAAAGTCACTCCTGGTTTCTCTTTCTCTTATAAGGACATTATTCCTACTGGATTAGGGCTTACCCTTATGACCTCATTTAACCTTACTTATGCCCTTAAAGTCCCTATCTCCGAATAGTCACAATGGGGGTTAGGGCTTCAACATATTAACTTGGGTGGACACAAGTCAGTCCATTAACTGGTTAAATATATATAACATAAAATTTATCATCTTAACCATTTTTAAGTGTACAGTTCTGTGGCTTTAAATACATTCATCTTGTTGTGCAACTATCACCAACATCTATCTCCAGAACATTTTCATCTTTACCAATTAAAACTCTGTGCCTATTATACTGTAACTCCCCAGTCTCCCTTCCTCCTAGTCCCTGGAAACCACCATTCTACTTACTGTCTCTGTAAATTTGACTACTTTTGGTACTTCATATAAGGGGACTTGTACAATATTTATCCTTTTATGACTGACTTAATTCACTTAGCATAATTTAAGGTCATCCATGTTACATATATATATATATATATACACACACACACACACACACACACACCATATTTTGTTCATTCATTAAAACTTGGCTTGCTTCCACCTTTTGGCTACGGTGTATAACACTATTATGAACATGGCTGTACAAATATCTGTTCAAGCCCCTGGTTTCAATTCTTTTGGGTATATAACC